TCAGAATCCTCCGTGAGCTGTACTGCGGATTCACTACCAGGATCTCACCATTCTACAAAGAATTGATTGTTGATGTCAAGAGAGGGGTGCGGCAGGGTGATACCATTTCACCAAAACTCTTCAGTGCCACCCTCGAGAACATCATGCGACGACTGGAATGGGAAGGAATGGGAGTGAAGATAGATGGTCGGCAACTACACCACCTTCGCTTTGCTGATGACATTGTTTTAATAACACCAACATCAGCCAAGCGGCACAAATGCTGGCCGACTTTGACCGTGAGTGTGGAAAGGTAGGACTACAGCTGAATCTTACGAAGACAATGTTTATGAGAAACAGCCTTGTTCCTGACGCCCCATTCGCTCTCAGTGGAACGACCATCTCCGAATGCAACAGCTATGTGTACCTAGGTCAAGAGGTCAACATGACAAATGACCTGGCACCCGAGCTGCGAAGGAGGAAGAGAGCGGCTTGGAACGCCTTCAAGAACGTCGAAGAAATAGCTAAGAGGACGAAGAACCTCCGGCTCCGGGCACATCTCTTTGATTCCACTGTTCTTCCTGCATTAATATATGCCTCAGAGACCTGGGCCCTACGCAAACAAGATGAGAACACTATTCAGGTCTCCCAAAGAAGAATAGAAAGAGCTATGCTTGGAATATCACGTTTCACTCAAATGAGAGAAAGAATCCGGAGTTCTGACATCCGTTGACGATCAAGAATCAGGGATGCTGTCTCATTTGCCAAGGTGTTGAAAATCAGATGGGCTGGTCATGTAATGAGATTTAAAGACGACTGCTGGACTAGAGCTGTTACCGACTGGATTCCACGGGATGTCAAAAGACCGCGTGGCCGCCCACCTACCAGATGGTCAGACTTCTTCGTCAAGATCATGAACGATCGGTTTGAGGCCCTTCATGTTCCTGGAGCGAACAGATGCCATTGGGCTACACTAGCACGCAACAGGGACAAATGGAGACATTACTGGCGCCCACTCGAGCAAATCAACGACTAACGGGAAGTTAAGTGAAGTGATTAAATGATAGAGAATACCATCAAATATGTATAAAATCCAAGTTCATACTATACTCCCAAGAAGAAATTTTCACTAGACATCCTGAAAACAGACCAAGGGGAAAAACGAATTTCTCCTGACTTTTCCATACCAAATAACTGATCAGAGAAAGTGTGCCATCTTAGAAATGAAGAAATAGTAGCTCTCAAATATTATTTGCAGCCCCTTAAAAAGTAATGAATTTATGTGAGAATCATCAGTTACTGTCAATGTCAGAAAATAGAGGCAGCCAGAGATTATTTAGCTCCCAGTGGAATGACTGCTCACCACTAATGATGTGGTCCTGCAGAAAGGAACCTAATTTAATTCTGATTAAATCTCTAGAGCCAACTATTGGCACATAAGGCATATTCAGGACAAGGAGTACGCCAAGAGACATCACAGAGATGCACAGAGAAGACCGAGACTGTAAGAAATTCTATGGGATAAGTGACCCAGTAACCCCGTCTTCTAATAACCAATTATCCCAATAGATGTTAAAGTACGAGAACTGCTCACACTTCACAGAGGAAAGATTTAAAAAGCACACCAACAAGTTAGAGCATATTCAACAAGTTGAATAAAGTCAACAAGTTAGACCTTATTCAAACAGTTGGTCATGAGCCACACAGAAATTTGAACAATGACTATTTGAAGGTATTTGTAGTGCTGGGTTGGAAAGGGGGAGGCAGTGTGGGAAGGGAAAAGACAAGTTGTGGGGGTGTGGCATGAACTAAGGCATCAAATGTGCTTGACTAAGGCATATGTTCTACTATTGAGCCACATCCCCAGTGCTAGCTATATTTTTATTTAAAAATTACATAACAGCAGGTAGGGTGTTAGACTTGCATGTGGCCAACCTGGGTTCGATTCCCAGCATCCCATATGGTCCCCTGAGCACCGCCAGGAGTGATTCCTGAGTGCAGAGCCAGGAGTAGCCCTTGTGCATCACTGGGTGTGACCCAAAAAGAAAAAAAAATACTTAGCATCAATGATAAGCATGCAATATTTACAGATGGAATGATACCCCCAAGGTGTTTGATCATTGTGCGATTATAACCCAAACATGAAAGCATGTAACTATCTCACGATGATTCAATAAAATTTTTTTAAAAATGATACCCCCCAAATCCAAGATCTGCTTTTAAGTCATCACAGGGTAGGGAGAGAGCCAAGATGAAACTATGGCTGAATGTTCATTTCTGAAGCTGGTGATTTAGGCATGGGACTCAAGAGACTCTTCTTGATGATAATTTTGTTATGTTTGCAAGTTGGGCATAATAAAACATTTCAGGAGTTCCTCACATGAAACTCTGTTACCTGGAAAGTGGTGCCAATCAATACCTGTTCACTCTTTGAAGCTCTGATCTAGCATGAATTGGAAAAGCAGAAAGAAGCTTTTCACTAGAGAATGGGGAGCTGAGGTGATGTACAGAACAGATCACTTGAGGATTCATTTGGGGGATAGATCCCAACTACTGTTGGTGCTGATGGGTGGGATTTCATAAACGGGAAGTAGATTTGGTGATGAAAATCAGCGCTGTAGACTGGGCCTGTTTGGCATCCCAGTCACCATCATCTACCAGTGTAGGTAGGGTTTCTGTTCTGTAGAACCCAGATCCTCATTTGCTGGCTCTACAGCAGGAGAAAGTGTACACAAACACAAAATGTTATTTTCAGAAACACTAAGGGCGCTGCACAGGGGACCACCATCACAGCACCATTTGGAAAGGCTATGGGAAAGTTTCAGTAAACTCTGGGGAATCAGAAAAGCAGATTTGCAGGATCTTGTTCTGTTGGAGAAATTGCTCAAGAGAGTTTCAAATTACCTCTCGAGGTTGGGAAATAGAGAAGTTAGAGTGACTCAGGTTAGATCCTCAGCCCCACACAGTCCCCCAAGCATTGTGGGGTGTATCCCTGGAGCCCCACCCCACTCTCAAGCTCCAGGATGTGGCCCTGGAGACCCTTGAGCACTGCCAGGGTGACCCAGGGATGTCTGGCACCGAGGGTCTTGAGCCACCACACCACATCCTTGGCTTTTGCCTTTAGCTGCTGCTCTGGTTGGCTAAGAATCACCCATGGTCCCTCAAGCCTCCTGAACACCGATTGAGAACTCCCCCCACCCCCCAAAAAGAAAACAAACAAACAAACAAAAAAACCCCAACTACCTCTTGACCATGTCTGATTCTTTAATGAAAGGACAGGAGTCCCAGAAGCAACCTTGATGGAGGTGTCTATCAAAGTAACAGCACATTTCTTCTGCTCCCGTCTCATACCAAGGTAGAGAGACAGAGAAGTTTTTGTTTGTTTTTAATATGTGGTATTAGGCCACACCCAGTGGTGATCAGGACTTGCTCCTGGCTCCGTGTTCAGGGATCACTCCTGTCGGTGCTCCTATGGGGTGCTGGGAATCGAACCCGGGTCAACCAGGTGCAAGGCAAGCACCCCGTCCACTGTATTCTCATCTGTATGGCCCCAAAGAATTGGTCTTTTTTTTTTAAGTCATGATCACAGCAGCAGTGCTGGGATACAGGGGAAGCCCAGGGTCACTCCCAGTGTTTTAGATCTGAAAGTCCAGTGCCCAGGCCAGGAGGCCTGGAGGATCATCAGATCCACACTGGACAGTACTCCGGGGGTCATGCAGTACTAGGGCTGGAACTGAAGACCCTGCACAGGCAAAGCCTGTGTTCCACCTCTGGGAGCTGTCTCCCTGGACCCATGGCTGGCTTTCTACCTTGATCTTGAAAGGTCCCCCGGATGCTAGCCTACCACACTCCTAGCCCAGCAGTGTTTTCTCTTCCAACACCTAGAGGATATTACCTCTTGGCTAGTTCCTCAGAAGCAGGTGGTCCTGGAGTCAAGGGCAAGTCAGGTGTGTGCCACTACCATGCCTCCCTCCCAGTGACCAAGCCCAGTACCTGGGATAATTCTGGAGTCACATCTGAAGTTCTCTCTGACCCATTCATCACAAGGAGGCACTGCCTGGGAGCAGGAACACTGCTCAGAGTCAGGCCTGAGGGGCAGGGAAGACCACCAGCCTTCATTCTCTGCTCACGGTACCAGTGACATTTTGAGAGATGGTTTCTCAAAGAGACTTCAGGCAGAAGCAATGCTTTAATGTGGCTTCCAGGTCTAGAAAGACCTGCAGCGGGGAATTCAGCCTCCCCAGCGCTGGCTTCCTGATGAGAAGGCTAGTGGGGCACGGCTGCAAACCACACGCCGGCTCATGGCAAGAGAACCACTACCTCCCTCTGCCATGTGTGTGCAGCTGTGGCTTCCTCCCGCACGTGGCCAGAACACTTGCTATCTGGGACCACCCAGGAGGGTGTCATCTCAGTATCATCTAGAAATCATCTCAGACTCCTCACAAGGAGCTTTTGCCTCCCCAGCTTGTTTGTTGCTCATCAAGGCCATTCACATGGGATTTGGGGAGGCTGCCTATTCCTCCGTCAAAGAAATCTTCCAGGAAATGCACATGCAACCTAAGAGAAGGGCCGTTGAGCAGAGAAAGTCATGGTGGCGGGAGGGTTCCGTGGCTGTCACTGTGCCCTCCGTGGCATAGCCTGCGGAGCTGCTCTAAGGCTTGGGTGGGCAGAGCCGGGAGAGGGGGTGAGAGCCTGTGGCTCGTGTGCCAGCAGCTGGGTCTCTGCCAAATAGAAGTGAGCCCAGGTCTCCCCTTCCCCCTGCAGCCTTAGAAATTATAGCGCTGTAGCACTATCCTCCCTTTGTTCATCAATTTGCTCAAGCGGGCACTAGTAACATCTCCATTGTGAGACTTGTTACTGTTTTTGGCATATCGAATACGCACGGGTAGCTTGCCAGGCTCTGCAGTGCGGGTGGGATACTCTCAGTAGCTTGCCAGTCTCCAAGAGGGATGGAGGAATCCAACCTGGGTTGGCCACGTGCAAGGCAAATGCCCTACCCGCTGTGCTATCGCTTCAGCCCCCTAGAAGTCATAAGGGGACACAAAGATGGTGACCTTTGACATGTGGTTGGTCTGAAAGGAGCGGTCCAGGTATTCGGACATGTCCACGTCCACCTCCAGCGTCTGCGGCCCTTCCAGGGGCTGGATGAGGATCAGCTCTCCCGTCTGCCGGTCGGAGCGCTGCATCACAAAGTGGCCGCGGTTGTTCCCACCCACGATCCCAAATCGAAGGCTGTTGGGTCCAGATCGGCCCGGCACAGAGGCCGTGGTGGCCATGCGGAAGAGCGTGACGGGAGTCTGCAGGTTGGAGGGCAGGGAGAGGTAATGGAAAGAGATGGTCTTGGGCAAGTGGCGGCACGGTCTGCTGTCCATGGGGCAGGGGTTTCGCTCACACTGGCTGGAACAGAGAGGCAAAGAGTCAGCCGTGGGGAGTCCAGCGAGGGGGTGCTATGACCTGGCTCATCCATCCCACCTGCTCTCTTGCAGAGGCTAGGAGAGTGACCTCTCCCAGCCTCGGGGTCCTCTCCACTGTCACACAGGCTAGAGCTCCAGGCACATGTGGCAGCTTTGGGTATGGTCGGGGAAGGGGTGCTCTCCTGGCTCCTGCTAGAGTGTGCATGTGTTGATAGGAGCCCTGGGCTATGTACAGACATAACAATATCTATTTCTGGCAGTGCTGGGAATTGAACCCAGGACTCACACCTGCATGAACTGTCCTCCCACTGACCCACATCCCTGGCCATACTGCTATCAGTTTGCTTTTGAGGCCATACTTGGTGGTGCCCATGGCTTACTTGTGGCTTTGTGCTCAGTCTGGCAGGGCTCAGTGGACCTTATGTGGTACTGGGTCAGCTGTGTGTATGGCAAGCACCTTACACACTGCACTTTCCTTCTGGCCCCTGCTATATTTTTACAGATAAATGAAGTGCAACTGTCTAACACTGGTGATGCTGCTGTTCAGACCCCAGGAGTTAGCTAGTTCCACTGCACATAGGTGCTCCTTCCACTGCACATTGGTGCTCCAGATGTGGAGAGCATTCCTTAAAGCAAGTAACGCTGCCTCCCAAAACAATCTTAAGAAAACTGCTTTTGCTGCATCTCTGCCTTCTCAAATGTGAAAGGCAGATCTGCCTATTGGTGATGGGACTCATCCCGGTGATCAGGGTAAAGAGTAAATAAAGGTGTTCATCAGGGATGTCCCCAAAGGCAGGACACCCTGTCCCTTCACTAGGTGAATCCTGAGGAATTTGCAGTTCCAAGTTTCTCATACTTTCTACTCTGCTAAAGCCCTGAGCCCCCTGCCCCCTCCCCAAGCAATTCAAGCATCACTGATTCAGGCAGCAGTAATCAGTAGCTTGGGAAGTCAATTCTGAAAGACTGTTTGCGGTGGTGGGGGGGGGGGGCTTTGATTTCTGGTTCAGGAGGAGATGTGGCACATCTTGAACATTATCCCTCACATTACCCCTCCTTCTGGGGTGGGGTGCAGGAATTTTGATGTGTCTGATGCTACTAGGCATCAAATCTCCTTGCATTTGTTGCCTCTAGCTGCCACTCCCAGTGGCCCTCCTTGACAGCATAATAATAGGATGGGTACAGCTCCGTGATCCTCCAAGTCAGCAGAGGATGATTTCTGTCAGGGTAAGCTGGGTTATTAATGCTCCAAGAAGAAGTGAGTTTCAAAACCACTGAAGGGACCTGAGCTCCCAAAGCCAGACTACCAGCTCCTACCATTCACCTTTCTTTTGACAGTCATCTTCTCCCAAGAGCCTCCAGGAGAGCCCAGCCCTGCCACCCTGAAGGCCTGGCCTAGGGGGTATGCCAGCCCCACCATGCCCATACGTACAAGGGAGACGTCTTCACGTAGCTGACATTGCTACTGCCCTCGGGACACTGTGGGCTGACGCACTGGAAGCCTCCTCCAGTGTTGATGCACGTGGTCCCTGGGGGGCACACCTGCTGTGGACTCACGCACTCATCGATATCTGAAACACGGGATGGCCGGTGAAGGAAGACCCCACACAAAGGGCCCACACTGGCGCTGAAATGTGGGGCTCCATTTATGTGGACTGTTTCAATACCCAGAGCTTGTTCTTCAAGCAGGAAATCTTGTTGCCTCTGACCATCTGAAGTCCAGCTCTTGTGTCAGTCAGCTGACCCCTGCTGGGTATGTGCCTCCCTGGATTCTCTCCTTCCCTGAGGCTCTGCACTCTCTGCTGCTAATCATGCTGCTCTCTGATTTGCCTCTTCCAAGGGCTCTGAAGTCCCCTCCATAGCTGTTCTCATGCCCTTTGTAGTTTCAGATCAACCGCACTTTCCTCTGTAAGAGCTCAGTCCTGCCTACAGCATGTGAATTGCCCAACTGGAGGCTATTCATCTATCCTTCCATGGATGGATGGACAGCTGGGTGTTTCGGCAGATGCGTGTATGTATGTATGTATTGATGGACAAGAATATGGGTAGATGGACACATGTGTGAACAGATAGATAGATGAACAGATGGAAAGATGTGCAGGTGGATGGATGGGTGGATGGATGGACAGATAAATGAATGACTAGACGTATGGATGGGAGGATTGGCATATGGATGGACAGATGGATGGGTAGATGTATGAATGGATGAATGGATGGGTGGGCAGATGGATGGTGGCTATATAGATGCCTTCTACTCTATTTCTGGTTACCTCTGAGACCCTGCAATAGATTCTTTCAGGTCATGTACCCACGGGAGTAGCCCAGCTGGGGGAACACAGATGTGCCTTTCTTAGTGCGGCCCGCACTTGAAGACTCAGTTCTCTCACGGAGACTGGCTAAAACATTGGAGTTCCAGGGATGAAGTCTGAGTTAAACAACTGGAAACCCTACTTTGCCTTCAGGTCTAAAAATGCACATCCTGACTATCAGCTAGTGCCAAGATTGACATATATGTGTCTCTTAATATGTATATACGTCCTAAGAGGCAGTGTGAAAATGGGAGAGTGCTAATAATAGTTGTCATAAGAGTGAACACAAACCACTGGCAACAGCCCCAAATGTCCCATATACTCCCAAGTGTGTGGTGAATACCGTGGTTGTACCTGTGCCATAGGGACCAGACTGGGACTATCATGTGTTCCACATGCCCAGGTCCTGTCTGCTGCTGATGAAGGATCCTCAGCCTCCCAGTCTACCAGCTGTGTCTACAGCTTCCTACCTTGCATATAGTCTCTTGTTGCACTGCTTGCTAGTTAGAGGAGTTGCCCACTGTGCCTAGAATCAACCTTGGAAACCCAGACCAGTCCTCTGGGAGGCCAAACAAACCCAGGGACAGGATTCTGCACCTCGACCCTCCAAGTACTCTCCCATTACCTGAGACGCTGACACCTCTAGACTGCATTTCCTGGTTCCCAGCCCCACTGCCCCCTCCAGAATCAACAGCTGTGACTCAAAAAGCAGAGAAAAAAACATAGGCCATAACTGATTTTAAACCAGTTTGTAAAGCATGTGGCAGTCTCCTGCCCCAGCGCCTGACTGTCCTCGCCGCCAGGGCCCCTTGGAGGGGAGCAGGTTGAGCTTTCCTCCCTGCCCCGACCAGGGCTCCGGCAGCCAAAGACCTCCAGGACCAGCCACCACCATGCTGAGACCACTCTCCGCACACATGAAGGTACTGGCAGAGGGACAAAGTCACGCGGGTTCCAGGGCCGAGATCTCCAAGCCTACTCGGATGTGGGCCGAGCATCCTCCACCCAGATCCTCCAAATTCCAGTAGGCGGGGGTCACACCCACCAACTGGCCCCCTGGCGCCATGTAATCCCATCAGCGGCCAAGACTCAGAGACTATAAAAACCAGCTCCCGGAACTGCGCGGCCGCGAATGACATCCTATTATGACATCTTATTATCTCATTCCTACTTTGGACAAACTGGCAGGCTACCGAATGTAGCCTGCCCACACAGCAGAGTCTGGCAAACTCCCCGTGGCGTACCCAATATGCCAAATACCAGTAACAATGATGGGTCTCATTCTCCTAAAGAGCCTTGAATATAATCTCGGGGCTAGGATGAAGGAGACATTACTGGGGCCTGCTCGAGGCAATTGACGATTAACAGGATGATTTGTGATTGTGATTTGTAAAGCATGTGTAGAAAACAGTACCCTGACTTTAATTTTGCTTTTCTCTTTACTAAATCCCAAATACATGTTAACTCACATACCCCCTAGCTGCATAATGAGATGCAAGTGATATGTGTGACATATGTGCAACATGTATTTCTTTCTTTTTTTTGTTTGGGGGTGGCACCCAGCGATGCTCAGGGGTTACTCCTGGCTCTGCACTCAGGAATTCCTCCTGGAAGGATTGAGAGACTGTATGGTATGCTAAGAACCAAACCTGGATTGGCTGTGTGCAAGAAAAGTGCCTTACCCACTGTACTATCTTTCTGGTCTGCAATATGTAGTTCATGTGTAACTTCAGTATCACTCAAATCCTGCTAATGTATCTATACTCCCATGCATGTTCATTCCCCTTACCCAAGACCTGGTGCATGATACTCTCCTTTGAGAGTCCCACTTCCAGTTTATACTATGACTGTAATAGCACCTTCTGCTTTTATCTACACCATCTTCTTGAATTCTTTCTCAACATGAAGACAAGAGCCTGGACACCAAGGGGTATCAAACTAACATCTTTTTTTTCCTATTTCTGCTAAGAGTAAGAACTTGTCCTTGCCTGAGATTCTTTGAATATTGGATCACAGGAACTCAGGCCCAGGCTGTGTAGATCAAGTAGAACTCAGCACAATCTTAGGGCAGCCTCAGGAGGACTGTCTGTGAAGGAGCTCGCATTGTGTCTCAAGTTCTCCTCCTCTGCAACTGACTTTCCCAGAAACTACTCTGGCAACATCAATTTGGGTTAAAATTGCTTTCACAATACTTTCTGGACCTAAGAGTTCCATCTCATCCTAACCTAGGCTCCTCAGGGTGATCGCTATCTTGGGTAAGGCCTTGGGTAAGGGGAATGAACATACATGGGAGTATGGATAATTAATTCTCAGACATGTAGATAAAGTGGGCCTACGTGTGGTGTGAAACACACTGTGTGTGCCAGGTAGGGTAGTGGCCGCACTGTGCAGGAACTCACCTGAGTCCTTATCTCTGGGGCCTCCTCCAAGTCTAACTGCTGACAACAGCATGACCACACCAAGGCATATGTGCACGAGGGCTCTCCTTTCACTGATTGTTTTTTTGGGGGGAGGTTTGGGGTCACACCTGGCAATGCTCAGGGGTTACTTCTGGCAGTGCTCAGGGGGCCATATGGGATGTCAGGGATTGAACCCATTCCTATGCAAGGCAAATGCCCTACCCACTGTACTATCGCTCCAGCCCCCTCACTGATTGACTTTTTGTCACACCCAGGCACACTTTGGGGCTATCCTCAGAGGTGCGTGGGAAAGTATGTGGTGCCAGGGGTTGAACCTGGGATTCCTGCATCCCAAGCATGTGCACCAGAATGTCAGGCCACTCCTGGCCCTGCCTTTTAGAGGCAAGTGTGCTGGTGCCTATAGGGAGCAATGTAGAGGGGCACTGTGCCAGGAGCCTACTTATCATCTCCAGGCCGCATAGCATGATGACCAGCTGACTGTCCTGCCTTTGGATTCAGACCTTACCGAAGGCATAGCTAGGAGAGGATGGGATCCAGTTACCAGAAGAGACTGTTTGACACAATATTAAATGACTCATTTTTCTATTTATATGGAGGGCATTGTAGGCTAAGAGAGACTTTTGAAATAAATATATAAATACATAGACACACACATATATATACATGTGTGTATATATGTATATGTAATGTATATATAAACATATGTATGTTGTATATATGCATGAGTATGTACATGTGTATATTTGTGTGTATATGTATGTTATATTTGTATGTATATACACATATGTGTACATATGTATGTATATTTGTATATATATTGAGGAGCTGGAGTGACAGTACAGCAGGTAGGGCACTTGTCTTGCATAGGGCCAACCTAGGTTCAATCCCCAGCATTCTATATGGTCCTTTGGGCCTCTCCAGGAGTGATCCCTGAGTTCAGAGTCAGGAGTAAACCCTGAACACTGCCGGATGTGATCCCCAAAACCAAAAAAAAAATTAAATATATCTGAGACTTTGACCCTGTAATACTCTTCCTCCTCCCTATTCTGAGGTCTTGGAGGTTCCGGGAGCAGAGAAGTGCTCCCCAGTTCTGCTGGCCCCTGCCTTGATACTGACCTTCACAGCTCTTCTCGTCCCCCAGGATCCGGTACCCAGGGGGGCAGCTGCAGCGGTAGGATCCAGGGGTGTTCACGCAGGCATGCATGCAGAGCCCGAGCAGGCCGTCCTGTCCATAGAGCTCACACTCGTTCACATCTGCGGACAGAAACGCCCAGTTTGACACCGGAAGTTAGACTCGGTTCACAGACCCACCTGCACTCTCTGGGCATTATCTTGGGATGGAGGGTCCTCTGTGGCTATAAAATGATGCCCTCAGCACCCACTGGCCTGCTCCAGGTTTGCAGCCCCCCCTCACCTGAGTTGTTTATAACTTGGGATCTTGAGAGATTAGCAGACATTAGCACAAGTGGGTGAGTCAGTAAAGCCAAGGGTTTCGAGAGAGGAGATAAGGAACGAGCCCCAGGTGCCCCCTCAGCTCCAGCAGGCTGCAAACAGACCCGCGTTTCAGTCTTCTCCTGGCCACCTGCCCCTGAGACTCCCGCTAGGTTGAGGAGTCAGGGGCTCAAGGCTCTTCGGAAAGGAGGATGCACAGCTCAGGTGTGGCCAGGACAGGCCTGGGGTGGGGATGAGCCTGGAGCTCAGAGCTTGCTGTCTTGCAGGGGTCGGCTAGGCGTTGGGGGCGTGGAAAGGCGTGCGGGGCGGTTTGGAGGGCAGGTCCCGAGCGGGGAGCACTGTCTGGTGGCCGCGGCTTGCCTCCCACTCCGCCCCAGCCCAGCCCGCCTACCCTGGCAGACGCCGTCGCCGGCGGGGGCGCCGCTCAGGTGGAATCCCGCCTCGCAGCTGCAGTGCTGCGCCCGCTCCACCTGCGCGCAGCGGGGCGCGCGGCTGAAGGACGGGCTGCTGGCCTCGGGGGCGGCTGCGGGGAGAAGACACACTCTCACTGCCCGGCCCTGGCACCCCTGGGGGAGTGGTCTCGCCCCTTCTCAGAGCTCCCTCTGGAGAAGGGAAAGAAAGACAAGTCATTGACCATCCGTGGCGCCCACCACCCAGGATTCACCCACAGAGGACAGCCACAGGCCAGGGTCACCCCGATACCCCCACCGCCCTTTACACTGCACAGAGTCGCAAAAGACGTTTATTATTGAAAGACCTTTAAACGCAATCAAATAGTAGCAGGGGGTTGAAATCGCGGAGTTTAAAACATCACTTTTTTTTTTGGAGGGTGGGGGGTTAGTCATTATTATTGGAACTTTTATAAAGTGTCTAAGTTCTGTGATGTTGGAACACAAATGACTTTTTTTGATCAGAAAAATAAATTGTTCTTGGAGCTGGAGCACAGCGGGTACGGCGTTTGCCTTGCACGCTGCCCACCCTGGTTTGATTCCCAGCATCCCATATGGTCCCCCAAGCACTGCCAGGAGTAATTCCTGGGTGCATGAGCCAGGAGTAATCCCTGTGCATTGCTGGGTATGACCCAAAAAGAAAAGAAAATTGCTCTTGAAAAGTTTTACCCTTTTTAGAGCACAACTCTGTTTAGTGATTGGAGACTAGGGTACAGGAAGCACAAGAAACCAAATGACGCTCACAGGAAGTAAAACTCAGAGGACATCAGAAGAAAATTAGAAATCAATTCTTTTTTTTGGGGGGGGGGGACACACACAGCAATGCTCAAGGTTTACTCCTGGCTCTGCACTCAGGAATTACTCCTGGCTGTGCTTGGGGGACCATGTGGGATGCCAAGAATTGAACCCAGATTGGCAGAGTGCAGGGCGAGAGCCTTATCCACTGTACTATCGCTCCAGACCCTGAAGACGTTGAAAGCATATCTGACATTCTGTTTCATAGGGGCTGGATGGGCTTTGCAAGGTGGAAGATGTTTGGGAGATGGATGGTAAGGATGTTGATTAGGACACTGATTATTGTGCTGATTAGCATGGTACTGACAAAAAATGGGGTAAAATGGTAAACTTTTATATTATGTATGTTTTACCTCAGCAGAATAATCATTATTAAACATCAAGCCAAGAGAGGCTCCTTGAGGTGACTGGAAAGGCAGAGGCAGGGCTGATGGGGCGGCAGGCTCTGGGCCGAGGGACCATGGGACCAGAAACAAGCTGTGACTGGGCTGTATGTGGGAAGTGAGGGACACAGCTGGCAATACTCCTTCCTCCTTCCCTTCCTGTTGGAAGCTCCAGGGAGAGGCGGTATAGAAAGTGACTGCAGGACTGAGGAATGATTTGCTGAAGCTGGGGCCAGCGACCTTGAGGGGCCTGGACAGGTTCATGTGGGTGGAAAGGGACCCATTTCTTTCTTTCCTGTCTGTAAGTAAAGCTGCCAGGATGGTTCCACAAGGAACAAGGAGCAGCTGCTGGGACTGAAGGCTTTGGGGAGCCTCTGGGCTCCCTGGGGGGCAGGCTCCTTCTGAGCAAGAACCAGCACGCTGACTTAGCAGAACCATAGTAAGGCACAGGAGGCTGCTGCATCACTCGGGGACATATCCTCTTCCTTCTCCTCCTCCTCATCATCTTCATCCTCCTCCTCATCATCATCATGCTCATCCTCATCATCACCCTCCTCCTCTTTCTCCTCCTCCTCATCATCTTCCAGAATCAGGGCTCAAATCCAGGTCTACCTCTGGGAGGCCCACAGTTCACCACTGACCCATATCTCTGCCCCCAGGGATAATATTCAAAGCAGACCTCAGGCAGGGGTCTAAGGTCAGGGCAACCAACACTGAGAGCGACTGTTCTCCTCACTGTTGACCACCAATTCTTCCACCACCCACAGAGATGCCACAAAGAAATCAAGACAACCAGAAAGGACACTGCAGCCTATTCTGGCAAGGAGAGCTTTGGAGTTTCTCTCTTCTATATAAGAAACGCGTGGGAAATTCCATCCGTTCTCCAGAGTCCCATCAGCAGATCTCCTTGCCCGCTGCAAAAGCAGCCATGGTTGGACTCCTAGGCCTTCTATTTGGGGATAAGCTGGGCCTTGAGTATCTCTGATAACCTTCTCAGCTGTGACATGCCTAATTATCCAGCTCTGGAAATGCCTGGGCCTACTCCAATAGCCACTGATTTATTTAGTTTTTTTGATTTTGTTTGCTTTGGGGTCACACTGGGTGGTGCTGAGGTGATTGAGCTCAGAGCTCACTACTGGCCCTGCACTCAGGAATTACTCCAGGTGGTAATTCTGGCTGAGAGAACCAAGGATTGAACACGGGTCAGCCACATTCAAGGCAAGTGCCCTTCCAACTGTACTATTTCCCTGGCTCCTCACCACTCACTTCTCAGGATGGGTGGGATCTGCTGGGAGGAGTGATCTGCTGAGCCAGTATCCACCAAGTGAGGTGACAGCAGCAAAGATACTTTACCGCTCAAATTCTGATCTGGGGAGTTTTCAGGCTTAGAGTCAGTCTCTGCAATTATATTTCCATCCGAAGAGCTAAAGTTCATCCCAGAGAACCACCTCAAGGAACTAGGGTGATCTTCTGTGCTCTCAAGGACCCAGGCCTGAGCTCCGACCTGGCAGCTGGGGGTGGCAGCAGACCAGGGTTTTCTGTCCATACTCTCTCACAGTCCCATAGCAGCTACTCACCAGTCTGGGTCTGATGCTGACAGCGACTTCCTGTCCTTCCCTGAGGACAGATGCATTTGTACTGGCTGATTCCTTCCACACAAGTTCCACCATTTTGGCAAGGCTGACTGGAGCATTCGCTGATATCTAGTTAAAGAAATACTTTTCAAATACAAGTGTGTGAGTTCTAATTCATTTTTTGGGACGGGGGTGTGAGGCAAGCCACACCCATCTATGTTCATGGGCTACTCCTGGATTTGTGCTCAGAAGACCATGTGGTGATGGGGGATCAAACTTGGGTCAGCCACCTGCAAGGCAAGTGCCTTAACCTCTGTACTTGCTCTCCATGAGTTCTATTCTAAAACAACAACAACAACAAATTAGGGGATGGAGGCCAGAACCATATTATACTTATGTTGTACATGGCCATTCGGGGCTTGACCCCTGCACCCCATATATCATATGGGCACCAAGCACTGCCAGGAGTGATTCACAAGTGCAGAGCCTGGAGTAACCCCTATGCATTGCTAGGTGTATCTCAAAAAAATAATGAGGGCTGACTTTCTTTACGTGATAGAATGACTCTAGCTTCCCACTTCACTCTCTGCCCTTGTCACTGTCCCTTCCACAAGAGCTGGGAGGGAGCAAATGGGGAGATGTAACCCACACTCCCTTCAGCAAGTCTCTGAATGTACTTTGGCACACCTGGAGTTCTGCCTGGAGGTGCTGTTCTATCATCAGCCATGTGCTAATTTGCAGTCTAGACAGTGGCCTTGGCATATGCTTGGGCTGCCTTTGAATCAGCTACACCTTCACTTCCAACAGCACTTCTGTCAGCCATCACACAGTTCGAATTCCTTCAGAGCAAGAACCCAATTCTCAAGAGTCATGAGAGAGGGATGATCCAGCCTATTAGCATGCCCAAGATGGTGGAATTCAGCTCTTTACAAGAATTCTTTGTGTATGACATTTCCTGTGGGACCATAGAGGAGTTTTTCTTGATAGTATTTAATATTAGAAAAGGAGGGGCTGGAGCGATAGCACAGTGGATAGGGCATTTGCCTTGCACGAGGTGGACCTGGGTTCAATCCCCAGCATCCCATATGGTCCCCCGAGTACCGCCAGGAGTAACTCCTGAGTGCAGAGCCAGGAGTATCCCATGTGCATTGTGGGTGTGACCCAAAAAATAATATATATATATGTTAGAAATATATTAGAAATATATATACATATATTAGAAAAGTAAAAGGTTCCTTGATCATAGGCAAAACAGTCCTGATGCAAAGCTTTATCTACAGAGACAGGTAATTAGTTATATACTTTTATAGGTTTCCCTCTGGTTATATTCCTTTGCTCTCCCATTCTTTTTCGGGTACTCTCCTATTTTCCCACAATACAGTTTAATATTTTCTAATTAGAAAAAATAAAAGTTGTCAGAAATATGTTTGTGAGGAATTCCTTCAGCACACAGTACCCAGGCTGTGTCCACTGGAGAAGGGGCTGTCGGCTCACTGACTGGGCCACGGCCTGTGGGGAGGAAAGCTGGGGATGCCCTTTCCCACAAGGCCATCGAGAGTAAGGAAAATGTGCTACGGCTGAGGAGAACCACAGCCCTGCACGAGGGTGGTGTGTGGAAGGGTCTCTGGTTTCCCATGAGGCCCCTCGTGACTAGATGTTCTGTGGATGATGCTATGGTTTCTATTCATCACCAAAGGCCCAGGGACTCTAAGTGCTGCTGGCCTGGGGGAGGGTTCATAGCAGAACCCAGTGACCTCAGCCTGGTGTGCTCCCTCACCAACATGCTGTTCTCAGGGGGTCAGTTTCCAGGAACGTGTTGGGGAGGACACAACACAAATGCCACTGTGCCCAGAAGCATGGTATCTCCCGGGGGGAGGGGGAGTCTGACCAGTTATTAGGCCGCAGGACTGAGGGCAGAATGCCAAAGCGTGGGAACATGTGCATCTCTCATCTGGGCCTGGCGCCACAGATCGCCTCCCACAGGCCCTTCTGAAGAAGGTGATGAGCAGGGCACCCAGCTGCAATATCAGTAGGGGGAGGGAAGGGGGTCACTAGCCCAACAGAAATGCACCCACTTCCCAGGACCCTAGGCCCTATCTCTGTATAGATCTTGTATGCTTTTCTTTTCTTTTCTTTTCTTTTCTTTTCTTTTCTTTTCTTTTCTTTTCTTTTCTATTTTATTGATTCACCATGGGGCTGGAGTGATAGCACAGCGGGTAGGGCAGTTGCCTTGCACACCGCCGACCTGGCCAACCTGGGTTCGATTCCTCCACCCCACTCAGACAGCCCGGCAAGCTACTGAGAGTATCTTGCCTGCATGGCAAAGCCTGGTAAGCTACCTGTGATGTATTCAATATGCCAAACACAGTAACAACAAGTCTCACAATGGAGACGTTTCTGGGCCCGCTGGAGCAAACTGATGAACAACGGTGCTACAGTGTTACAGATTCACCATGAGGTACAGTAACAAAGCTTTCATGTTTGAGCTTCCACGAGGTACAGTAACAAAGCTTTCATGTTTGAGCTTCCACCGTACAGTCATCAAACACCCATCCCTTCACCAGTGCACGTTTTCCACCACCAAATTCCCCAGTATCCCCCACCCCCACCCCATTCCACACGTCCTCCTGCCTGTGTGGCAGACAATTTGCACAATAGTCTCTTTCTCTACTTTAGTTACCTTTGATATTTCAAGACCAGTCCCACCACCATTCATACTGCCGAAAAGGCAATGCTAGACAGTATGTTTCGTATTGCTTGTTGTGGATACAATACCATGTCCTGTGACTGCAAGAGCTGCTGCTCTTGTAGGATTTTCTAAATAGGCTTCTCGAAGACTTCTCTTCCCCTTCCCCTTCCACTTTCATCCTTCTCTTCCCTCCCTTCCCCATCACTTCCTCTTCTGTTTTCATCTACTGTTTCGTGAACACTTCCAGTAGCCCTGAAATCCATAAAGTGTTTTACAGACACCATCTGTTTATTTATTTATTGGGAGGGGGTGTGTTTGAGCCACACCCAGGGGTGCTCAGGGCTTACTCCTGGTTCTGCACTCAGGGGTCACATCTGGCAGAGCTTGGGGAACCTTATGGGATGCCAGGGATGGAACCTGGGTCAGCTGCATGAAAGTTCAGACCCTTCAACCTGATTTTATCTTTTATTTTCTTGTGTTCTGTCATCTTGTTTTTAATTTTCCATTACTCCCATCACTTGTTTTCTAAGGAGTTGTGATTTTTACTTATGCTGTCCTTTCATAAGTTTTTGTCTTTCAATTTTGTCCTTTGGGGCCAGGGAGATAGCTCAAAGGGCTGGAGCTCAGCCTTGCCCAGGTACAGTCCTCAGCACTGTACCCCACCCCCCCGCCACCAGGTACCACATCACAGTCCTGGACATGAGCACGGGACCATCTGGCCCTGTTGACCAAGTATCACCCGGAGTGACCCTCAAGCTCAGGATCCCCTAGTATTACTGGGAAGGTTCCTGGAAAAATAAATGAACTAATTTAAATTTTGTTTCCAACTTGTTTAAAAATGTTAGGGACATATTTTTCTGGCATTTCCTCATCACAAACTTTATTTTATTTTCTTACATGGATTGTTTGGAATTTGACCAGAGTTCCTTTCTTTTACTCATGTTTCAGTGAAACAAGTTTCCCCACATAACTCTTCTAACCGCCGGCCTCTCAGGCTCCCAATGTCACTATGTTCTTCAAAGTGGTTCACCCACATTCTCTCCCAGTTCTCCCTTTCCCAGCTTCACAGATCATATTCTTCATTCATACACATTTCCACTATTGGATTTTCCTTCCACGGTCCCCTCAGTATTTGAGATTTGTCCTGCAAAATTGGGGTGGATCCTGGAGACTAGATCCCTCCAGCAATGGCATTTCCTACTTGAAAAGATGAACCTCCACCCAAGTGGGCCCTAATTCAAGGATGTAGTGTAAGGGAAACAGAAAGGAATCCTTTGGTATCCAGGTAAAAAGTCTACAATAGTTATGATGTCAACAATGGGCTCAAAACAGGAGATAGAGGGGCTGGAGCGATAGTACAGCAGGTAGGGCGTTTGCCTTGCACGAAGCCGACCTGGGTTCGATTCCCAGCATCCCATATGGTCCCCTGAGCACCGCTAGGAGTAATTTCTGGGTGCAAAGCCAGGAGTAACCCCTGTGCATCGCCAGGTGTGGCCCAAAAAGCAAAAAACAAACAAACAAAAAAAAACCAGAAGATAGAGCAGAACATAGACAAATCTTCAGGAAGAAGAAGGGGACCAAAGTCCAACTAAATGATTGTAGGATGCAGTCAGCAATATTTAATATATAGAAACCAACCCATTCTCTTCCACCAATACAATTCAAAGAAATATGGAGTGAGGAGAAGGAGAAGATAATCTATTAAAAAAAAGTCTAAGAGGGAGGGGCTGGAGTGATGGTACAGTGAATAGGGCACTGTCCTGGCATGTGGCTAACCTGGGTTCTATTCCCAGCATCCCATATGGTCCCTCAAGACCTGCCAGGAGTGATTCCTGAGCACAAAGCCAGGAATAAGTTCTAAACATTGCTACATGTGATCCCCAAATCCAGAATAAATAAAAAGATCTAAGAGACCTAACCAATGATAATATTTAGACCTTATTTGGACCCTAGTTCGAAGTATTGTGTAGAGGCAAAGTAGCACTGTAGCACCGCACTGTCCTCCCATTGTTCATCGATTTTCTCGAGCGGGCACCCGTAACGTCTCCACTGAGAGACTTGTTGTTACTGTTTTTGGCATATCGAATATGCCACGGGGAGCTTGCCAGGCTCTGCCATGCGGGTGGGATACTCTTGGTAGCTTGCCGGGCTCTCCGAGAAGGACAGAGGAATCGAACCCGGGTTGTCCTCGTGCAAGACAAACGCCCTACCCACTGTGCTATCACTCCAGAGGTAAAGTATATGTATCTAAATCACCAGACCCAGCATGGGATGCCAACTATAACAAAGTTAAAAATGTAACTGTCAAGGAGTCAGACAGCAGGGTAGAAGGGAATCTGGGGTGATGGGACTGGAGATGGGAACATTGCATGCTTGAAGCTCCATTGTAAATAATCACATAAATCATGGTATCTAAATAAAACGGAGGGGCGAATATATGAGACAAGAGAGAAATTTTTTACCTTAAGTAGATATTAACAAGTTTTTTTGAGCCCAGAAAAAAAGTACAGGGGAGGGGTTGGAGCACTAGCACAGCGAATAGGGCATTTGTCTTGTATGCGGCTGACCCGGGTTCGATTCCCAGCATCCCATATGGTCCCCTGAGCACTGCCAGGAGTAATTCCTGAGTGCAGAGACAGGAGTAACCTCTGTGCATCGCTGGGTGTGACCCCAAAATTTTAAAAAATAGAATAGTACAGGGGCTTAGGTCACCATCTTGTAAACTTATGGTCATGAGTTCAAATTCTAGTGTCCCCACATATACCCAGTGAGATCCTAGCAGCTCTGCTCTTTGCCATCCCTGGCACCATAAGTAATTTCTAGTCACACTGTACCCAGGTATGTGCAAGCACCACAAAACAGGTACATTCCCCAACAATCATGTGCGCAAGTCCCAAAGCCAAAGGGGTGCAAACCTCAGTGAACACCTGGTCAAGTGTGTGAACATCACAACATGATGGGTGATTCTGGGTGAACACCACAGCTCAGGAAATGTGAGCACCTGTGCCAGGCATGTGGGCAAGCCCCAGTCACTTCCACAACACTGATGGCAGCAATGAAGGGAAGAGGGAGAGGCGCTGGGGAGGGAATTTTTAAAAAGTGAATAAAAGTAGGGGCTGGGGTGATAGTACAATGGGTAGGACATCTGCCCTTCATGTGGCCAACCCGGGTTCAATCCCTGGCACCTCATCTGGTTCCCCTAGTCTGCCAGGAGTGATTCCTGAGTGCAGAGCTAGGAATCAACCCCAAATAGGACCAGGAGAAGACTAAAATAACAAAACAAAACAAAAACTACTGGGTATTATTTATTATTATGAAAACCCTGAAACAAATAGAGAAATTATTAAATACTCATAGAGTATGTCTTATGAGGAAGTGTTTCTTCATTATTTTATTTATTTATTTATTTTTACTTTTTGGGTCATACCCGGTGATGCACAGGGGTTACTCCTAGCTCTACACTCAGGAATTACTCCTGGCAGTGCTCAGGGGACTATATGGGATGCCGGGAATCGAACATACCCTACCCGCTGTGCTATCGCTCCAGCACCCATGTGTTTCTTCATTATTAAGTTATGATAGGGAGACTGGATTTATGCTAACCCTATACATAGGTTTGAAGCTTGCATATACCTGAATAGGCAAGAGTAGGAGAGAGTTTTCAGGCCAACTGGAGTGGTGGTTCAAAGCAAGACTCTGAGCATGAGGTGCAGATCAGGACCTGCTGGGGTTTACCTCGGCCACCCTGTCAGGACCGGGAGCTGCCAGGGTTTCCCTGGCAATGCTCAGGGGCATATGTGGCATCAGGGATCACTCTGGTTACATAATACATTTGTTCATTCCTTCATCTATGCCACAGGCTCTCCTTCCACAGGTTTTTGTCCATGTTGCAAATCTTCTCTTCGATTGCATCTGCCACCCCACACCTGTTGGTCACATGACTAGATCTCCTTCATCCCGAGTATCAGTCTTGGGTCACCCCCTTACAGTGATTCTCCACAGGTCCTCTTCCTCATGGCATTTATTCTCAGCCTCAGGTGAGGTCCCTGCAAAGAACTGACTAGTCGTGGAGCCATTTAGCTTTCTGTTTGGCTCCAGTTTTGGTTGCTTCCTCTTTACACTGCGAACCCCGCAAAGTTGGGCAGTGTTCAGAGGCTCCCGCTGAGGCCCCAGCACTTAGCACACTGTTTGATACATAGCTGGTGCTCAGCGAAGACTGGTGCATGAACAGAAGTTAAGGAAGGAGAGTGAGTGAATGCATGATACACACACTCACATGTTACTTTTCTCAAAGCATGAATGTAATTATTTTTTGTGCATTTTCCCTTTAGCTATCCATGTAGTCAAAGGTACAAGGACACGAGGAACATGAGGCTATGGATCCTCCAATTCAGAAAGCCTCAAATCTTCAAAACATGCCTTTCGGGGCTGGAGTGATAGCACAGCGGGTAGGGCGTTTGCCTTGCATGCAGCCGACCCAGGTTCAATTCCCAGCATCCCATATGGTCCCCTGAGCACTGCCAGGCGTAATTCCTGAGTGCAGAGCCAGGAATAACCCCTGTGCATCGCCGGGTGCGACCCAAAAAGCAAAAAAAAAAAAAAAAAAAAAAAAAAACCATCCCTTTCAAAGAAAAAACAAAGTGAAGAAAGGAAAAAAATGTCTATGGAGCCAAATGGCTGCTTTCTGTTGTGGAATTCTGGAGCCTCCCTCTGCTGACTGGGTCTTCGAATGGTGTAATAGTGTTCCATTTCCTTTTTAGGTGGGCTGGGGTGAGAGCTTAGTGGGTAGGGCATTTGCCTTGCACGAGGTCGACTCGGGTTCGATTCCTCTGCCCCTCTCGGAGAGCCCGGCAAGCTACTGAGAGTATCTTACCCACACGGCAAAGCATGGCAAGCTACCCGTGATGTATTCAATATGCCAAAAACAGTAACAACAAGTCTCACAATGGAGACGTTACTGGTGCCCACTGGAGCAAATTGATGAACAAATGGAGAACTGTGCTACAGTGCTTCCTTTTAAGGCAAAGTTGGATTCATCACCTTCTTTCCAAGCAATTGACTAGGGATAGGGCAAAGGGCAATGAAGACACTGCCAAGTTTTGCACTGGCGCTGGCATTCCGGGACTTGCCTCTTCTGTAATTTAGAAATGATTTTCTCCGCCACCCCCCCACCCCCCATGGTAAATGCAGGACTGCAGGCTTCAGAAATGAGGTGGATGCATACAGTCATGACTGATAAGATCTAGAACTATGGGGGAGGAACATTCTCCCATGGAAACTTCAGATTGCTGGAGTAAAGCCTGTGTCCTGCCTACACTCTTAATGCCATCAGCATGGGAAACCAAATAGCAGAGACACATCCTATCTCCCACCTGACAAGTTTGGGAGGCACGTTTTGAGGCTCAGATTGGACACGGCATCACTAATCAACACGACCTGGCTAGGAGCAGAGGTAGCCACGCAGCCCTGCACGCTAACTTGGCAGGGGGCTGAGCTCCGTGGCTGTACATGGAAGTGATCTGTTCCATCATCACAGAGAACGATCCCTCCTCTGTCTCTCTCCCAGTCTATAGGAGGCTTCATGCCCAGCATCTTGAGAACTATGAAGTGACCTAGCAAAAGCCCCTGAAGAGATGCCACGCTTAAGTCCCTATTCAAAGTCCTAAGAGGCTGAGACCATCCCTGTCAGGACAGTCAGCCGTGCAGTCTCTGCTCACACCATCAGCGGTGCCCAAGACACTTTAAAGGCCTCCCTGTAGCTCAATTCTGCTGCCCAGTTCACAGAAATGGCTGCACATTTCCTGCTCACCCACCTCTGAAAAATTAACTCATCTCTAGGAAGCAGAAACTTCCTGTCTCAGCCCAGAGACACATAATAAGAGACTCTCCAAGTCTGTGCTAGGCAGTCTATCTCTGGAGGCTTTCTCTGTGTCAGTATGACCAGTCAAACTTACATGGGCCGGAGAGATAGGACATGGGGTTAAGGCGTTTGCCTTACATGTTGCATGGTCCCAATCCCTGGCACCACATATAATGATTCCCCAAGAAAGGAATCAGGAGTAAGCCCAGAGCTCTAGTCCTGTGTGTCTCCATCCCCTCTACCTCTGACAAACAAACAAATAAGTGTACTTTAGTCTGCCTAAACCATCTAGCTGTCCCGGTCAATTCTTCTTCTTCTTCTTCTTTTTTGTTTTTGTTTTTGCTTTTTGGGTCACACCCAGCAATGCACAGGGGTTACTCCTGGCTCTGCACTCAGGAATTACTCCTGGCAGTGCTCAGGTGACCATATGGGATGCTGGGAATTGAACCCCAGTTGGCCGCATGCAAGGCAAACGCCCTACCAGCTGTGCTATCGCTCCACTCCCCTCCCAGTCAATATTTTACCACTCACCTCTCATACCTAGAGAGCCTGGATTCAAATTTCTCCTCCCCCTGAAAGCTAATCACCAGCACTGGGGCAGACAGACGCGGTTTGGACATCGAGGAGCATGCACACTGGGGCCTGAGGAGAGCGGGGAGTACAGATCAGCTTAGCCCAGGCAAGTTCTTTTATTGTGGGTACAGCAATCCTCCCACACACAAATCAAGACTAAACTGCTACAGGACTTAGTGAGAGAATGCAGATAGGCAGCAGGAAGGCAGGTTACTGGACTCAGCCAGGCATGAGGCATTCATCAGGCAGAAAGACACCGTAGGAGGGCCCCACCCTATTTGAACTCCTGCTGGGTGTGGAGGGGTCCAGTCAGGGCCTCGGGCAGGAGGGACATACCTCTGCAGCGGGGCTGCTCCCCTGTCCAGGTGCCGTTGGGAAGACACAGCACACTGCTGGGCCCGAGCAGCTGGAAGCCAGGGTTGCAAGTGAAGTGGACTTCGTGATCCACGAAGTACTTGCTCCCAAACTTTCTGCCATCGGGAGGCGTGTGCAGAGCCGGGCAGGAAACTGCAAGGAGAGAGGGCAGAAGAGCCATTGAGTCACCACTTGTGACACGACTGTCATTGGCAGGAGGCCCTCTGCTGAGTGTTGGGTGTCCACTCAAATCAGATCAGACCGCACATTTCATTTCACTTCATTACACTCATTTCATTTTATTTTTTTCATTATTTCTAATGTGATATTTTACTTCACTTTTGAAAAATTTTAATAAAACATCTGACTTCATTTTATTAGCCTCTATGTAATTTTCTTTTATTTAATCTAATTCCTTATTTTCAGTACAATATTTCATATTTTTTCTACACTAATTTCACTTTTTTATTTATTTCTAATTTTAATTTATTTCATTTCATTTTAGGATTTGGAGCCACACCTGGTGGTGCTCAGGGGCTATTCCTGGCTCTGTTCTCAGGACTGATCCTTGGCATTCCCTTGGGGCAACCATGTGTGGTGCTGTGGATTGGAAACAGGGAGGAGACTGCCTGCAAAGCATGTGCCCTAACCCCTGAAGTGCCCTATTCCTTAGGGCTCCAGGGCCCCAGACTCTAAATGCTAAGTCTCCCCACCGGCTCAGAGGCTCCTGCTGCTGGGTAAAAGGCAGAAGCCTGGGCTCAGAGGCAGAGACTGGGTTTCTAGACACCCCTTCAACACAGGTGCACTTGAGGGCTCAGAGTCAATATCCAGGGGCTCTGGCCATCCCGACCGTCCTCGTCTCCTGAGCAGAATGGCCTCAGCCCTTCTGCCAGAACCTTTGGCCTTCTTGGCCTTATCTCTCTGACCTGGCAGGACCTTTGGCCTTCTTGCCCTTCTCTCTGCCCTGAATCTGCTTTCTCCAGAACATCTCCACCTTAACTTCTCACTCACCCGGTCTTTCTCTCCCCTGTCAGCTGCTTTCTCCTGGATTCACTCAGACCTCTAACAGAGCCTCTCTGTGGGAGCTTGTACCACTATGCCTCTGGAAGCACTGACTTGGTGGGTCCATGGCTTTATCTGCACGCCTGTGGCCAGTGTGCTCCTACAGCAAGCAGTGAGAGGCCTCGTGGGCAGAGAAGAGCCAGGAGCCGCCGGCTCTGTATGCCTTAAGAAGGGGTCTTAGAGGGTCTGAGTGGAGGTGGAAGGGAATGTGGGCCTGTGAGCCTGTGGGCTGAGAACATGATTGTCAGGTCCCAGGGAGGGCAGGGGCATGGCGCCCAGATGCACTCTGGGATCACCCCTGGTAGCACTCGGGGGACTGTAAGTGGTGCTAGGGATGGAACCCGGGTCATTTGCATGCAAGCATGCAAGGTAAGAGCCCTACCCACTGTACTATCTCTCTGGCCCCAATATTCACATTTTTGTAAACTAACTTTATCTCAAATTAACAATTTCAGTCTCTCTCTCTCTCTCTCTCTCTCTCTCTCTCTCTCTCTCTCTGTGTGTTAAGCATCCTCTCTTAGGTATATTTGTCTACATCTCTGCCTGAGATGCGTATTTCCTTTCTTTTACCATAGGGCATTTTTATTCTACATTTGCCCGAGATGTGGACTTCTTTATTTCTGGGGAAATGCCTGCATATCCCTGCCTGGGAATATCCACTCTGGAGAAGCCTGTGTTCTCTCTTGAGCACATATTGCTGACTTTCCTTCCCTTTATTTCCCAAATAAACTTGTTTTACTTCACTTAAAAATAAAATAAAAATACTCTTATTAATTTTTTTATGTAGGAGTACTGTTATTTATTCAGCCACTGATTAGCTGATTGAATTGTGCATGAACTCCACCTTATTTTTTTATTTCATTTTTTATATTTTTATTTATTGAATCACCGTGAGAGCAGTTACAAAGCTTTCGGGTCCAAGTCTCAGTCATACAATGAAACACCCATACCTTCACCAGTGCCCATTCTCCACCCCCAACAACCCCGGTAAACCCCCATCCCACACCCTTCCCCTACCTGTGGGGCAGATGATTTCCACATTGCTCTCTCTCTACTTTGATCGCATTCTACATTTCGACACCAGACCCACCATTATTATTTGAGATTTTACCCCAACACTCAGATCTGCTGAAAAGGCAACAGTAGACAATTTGTTTTCTATTGCTGGTTATGAATAACATATGATGCCACGTGATTTTAAAATTCCGAAATTTTAACACTTAAATCTGGAGGGATTTCTGCCAAAACCTGCTGGGTTCCGAGATTTGCTCCTGAGTCTCTGGGATCATGGCCGTTAAGCAGCTTGATCAGGAGCCAGAAAGGCCGTTCATGGGCAATGACTTGGGGTCTCGTTGGGGTGGGAAGGACAGGACCGGCTCCACCCCATCCCATGAGGCCCAAAGTGTCTCATCACTGCGGGCCCAAACCTGACTGTCCAATGACCTCTGGAGGATGACGGCCACCGAGCCACCAGGGGGAAGCAGGCAGAGGGACAGCACCCTTTCCCCCCTGGGGCGGCCTGGCAACAGTAACCTACTGTGGGGTTTGATGCATTTCTGCCAAAAGCTGCTGGGTTTCGAGATTTGTTTCTGAGTCTCTGGGATCATGGCTGTTAAGCAGCTTGATCAGGAGCCAGAGAGGCCGTTCATGGGCGATGACTTGGGGTCTCGTTGGGGTGTGGAGTACAGGACCGGCTCCACCCCCATCCCGTGAGGCCCTGCATGTCTCATCACTGTGGGCCCAAACCTGACTCTGGAGGATGGCGGCCACCGGGCCACCAGGGGGAACAGGCCAAGGCACGAAACCTATTTCCACCTGGGTTGGCTCAGCACCGGTAACCTACTGCAGGGAACCGGAAGCATTTCTGCCAAAAGCCGCTGGGTTTCAAGATTTGTTTCTGAGTCTCTGGGATCATGGCTATTAAGCAGTTCAATCAGGAACCAGAGAGGCCATGCCTCCAATTATATAGCTGAGCCAGAGGTGGTTTGTGGGTGTGCTTCCCACATACCTAACTTTTGTCCATTTACTTTCTTGGTAAACTTTGCCCCAAGTTTTTGGGGTCTGGTCAAAGGCACAGCAGCAATTTTGGGGTATCTGGAAGTCTGAAGATGCCATCAGCCTGCTGATGCACTCACCTCACAGGTACAGACTGACCTGCTGGTGGCACCATACTCCAATTTTTTGATGTTTTTAATCTAGTTTTTAGTAACAAGTGAGAAATCTGCTCATTGATTTAAAGCTTCCTGTCAAAAATAAGAGCATAAATTACTGGAAATTTTACTGAAAACAGGCTGAATTTATATTACCACCTTAGCTCACATTAGCTTATTGCTAGAAAAATGAAAAAATGTCGAACTTCAATGATGAAGAGAAAGAGAAACAGAGAGAGAAATGGTCAGTTTTAATAATCCTATATATTTCAGGGGAGAATGATCCAGAATCCAGATTAAGAGGATTAATAATGATAGCTACTCTAACACCATGGAAACAGTAGTTTGATTAGAGTGGAACCTCTAGCAGAAAACAAAAGTAAACAAAAACTAAACAATCCCAGTTCTGGGCCCTCTTACTACTCATCCTCAGATTCCCCGTTGTGGCATGAAGGAAGGATGCCTTGCCTACTTCTCAGAGTTCAGAGTAATCAGCCCTCGAGGGCTGGGACCTCACTGTGCCCTGGAGAGTGAGCAGAGGTTTGGCAAACAAGCCCAGTTCTGCGTGGTGGAGCCAAAAGAAACAAACGCCTCATCAAGGCTGGACAGTCTGCACTGGCTCCCAATCCTCCGAGAAGGCAGGAGCCCCAACACCTCCTCTCTGACCTCACCAGACAAGAGAATTTGCCTCAGCACCCTTTGCCCCCCAGCCCTGAGTTTCCAAACTGAAAACCTGAAGCCAATGTTGGTTCATGGACTATACCAGTTGCATGCACTGGTCTCCAGGTGAAGGACGTGTATGTGAGGGAGCACAGCACTGCAGTGAGTCTGGAAGGATGCATGGAAACTCGCCATGCTTCTGCTTGATCTGAGGGAAACTGTAGAACTTAAAACTCTCTGAAAATAGTCCATTAAACACACACACACACACACACACACACACACAAAACTAGAATCAACTGGTCTATCTGCTTAGGGACAGAAGTAGCCCAGGCTTTAGTTGTGCCTTTGGACAATTCTGTAGATAATATGGAGAGATGAGTTTCTGAGCATTCAAAGGAAAGATCTGAAAGGAAATATGGATGGGTGAGGAGAGCGGGCTAATGATTATACCACACACCACACACCAGTTTGTGTTAAAAGTGGGTCCCAAATGGAATACCAGGCGTGGAAATCTGCAAAGAGAACCAGTGAGGCATAGACAGGTTGGGATGGGAAAGAACCCATGGGGAAGTCTGAATACCCCGCGATGCTGATGTGGGGACCCACCTTGCGGGGTGTCTGGGCCCCCTCTGTTCACAGAGTTGTGGAGCGTGGCAAGCCGGCTCTTCATGCTGCGGATGCCCTCGGCAAAGCGCGTCTCCTGGCCCTTCAGCAGCTGCTGCAGCTGACGGATGGCCATGAGGAGCTGCTGTTTGCTGAGGCAGTTCTGGGTAGAGAAAGAAAATAACGTCACTTACTGGGGCTGCATTGCCCCCACAAGCCTGCTCAGGGTCTGCAACATCCAAGTGGTCTCTCAAGGCACCCTTTTCTGTGAGCCTGCCAGCTGGATGATGACATCTGTTCATGAAGGTCACCCGATGGTCCCAAGTGCCCACTTCAGCCTTCACCAAAACAAATCTCCCAGTTCTTCAGTCAAGGGTGGATGCCTCTAATCAAAACAACAATGAGATATCATCTCACACCACAGAGACTAGCACACATTGAAAAGAACAAAAGCAACCAGTGCTGGCATGGATGTGGGGAAAAAGGGATGCTCTTTCACTGTTGGTGGGAATGCCCACTAGTCTAGTCTTTCTGGAAAACAATATGGAAAGTCCTTCAAAAACTAAAACTTGAGCTTCCATATGACCCCACAATACCACTTCTGGGAATATATTCCGAGGATGCAAAAAACCACAGCATAAATGACATCTGTACCTGTATGTTCATTGAAGCACTGTTCATAATAGCCAAAATCTGGAAACAACCCAAGTGCCCTAGAACAGATGACTGGTTAAAGAAACTTTGCTACATCTACACAATGAAATACTATGCAACTGTCAGGAGAGATGAAGTCATGAACTTTGCTTATAAATGGATAGACCTGTAGAGTATCATGCTAAGTGAAATGAGTCAGAAAGAGAGGGACAGACACAGAAGGACTGCACTCACTTGTGGAGTATAAAACAACACAACATGAGGCTGACACCTAAGGATAGTAGATACCTGGGACAGGAAGATTGTTCCATAGCTGGAAGCCTGCCTCATGAGCAAAGGAGAGAAGGCAACTGGAATAGAAAAGGGATCACTAAGAAAATGATGGCTTGAGGAACCGGTCAGGATGGGAGATGTGTGCAGAAAGTAGATAATGGACCAAACATGATAACCTCTCAATGTCTGTATTGCAAACTATAATGACCAAAAGTAGAGAGAGAGTATGGGGAATATTATTTGCCATGGAGGCAGGGAGAAGGTGGGAAAGGGGGGGTGGTATACCAGGGATATTGGTGGTGGGGAATGTGCACTGGTGGAAGGATGGATGTTTGATCATTGTGTGATTGTAAATAAAACATGAAAGCTTGTAAGTATCTCATGGTTATTCAATAAAATAAAAAAAAAAAAGAGTGGATGCCTCTGAGGGGCACTGGAGCAAATTCAGCCCAAAGTGCCTTCCGAACAGACACTCTTTAACTCTCTGGATTCATACTGTGGTGACATTCTCCCTCATTTCTTTCTTGGATGGTTTTAAAAGCAAGTGGATGATAAAACACACAAGGTAGGGACAGCAGCAAAACCCGGTAGTTCCTATACTAAATGGTGTCTCAGGACAAATAAGAAAAAATGTAAGCTCAATAGAGTTAAGGAAGCATCCATATAGAGACAGGGAAATACCTCAAAGAACTGGAGCATCTGCCTTGCATACTAAGGATCCAAACTGAATCCCTGGCAGAGAATGATCTTCCCAGCAAGTCTCCTGGTTCCCAGTACCCAGGAGGCCCAGTAGACATGGAACCATACAGTAGGGGTGGCAACTGTGGCAGGAGAGGCATCCAGGTCCCCTGCTTAGGAGGCCACCCTCAAATACATTTTAAAAATCAAGGTCAATGATTTTTAGAAAGCAACAAAAAGTTCATGATTATGTAAATACAGTTGAACTTAATGTGATACTTGGCACCAGACTCACGCTCTACAGCTCACAATTTCCAACTTTAATCTCCTCTAAAAGCCAAAGCACAGAAGGAGTGAGTACAGTGGAGAGGCGCAGGGACCTTGATCTTGATGCTTATGCATATCTGGGAGCTTATGCGACCTCAGTGGCACCTGGTCCAGCCTGGCTCAGTCTATACAGGTAGAGAGGAGCATATCAAGAAGACACTGACGATGGCCTCTGGGAGAGGCGTGTGACCATGCTAATCTAATAAGAACAATGATTGTTTTAAGATTTATACTTCAGGGGCTGGAGTGATAGCACAGCGGGTAGGGCATTTTGCCTTGCATGTGGCCGACCCGGCTTCGATTCCCAGCATCCCATATGGTCCTCTGAGCACCGCCAGGGTAATTCCTGAGTGCAAAGCCAGGAGTAACCCCTGAGCATCGCTGGGTGTGACCCAAAAATAAAAAATAAAATAATAAGATTTATACTTCATGTTTTTCACAAGAAGCATCACATTTACACATTTAAAAGTGTTCGGGGGGGGGGGGTGGCTGGAGTGATAGCACAGCAGGTAGGGCATTTGCCTTGCACAAGGCCGACCCTGGTTCGATTCCCAGCATTCCATATGGTCCCCCGAGCACCGTCAGGAGTAATTCCTGAATGCATGAGCCAGAAGTAACCACTGTGTATCGCTGGGTAGGGGATGACCCAAAAGGAGAAAAAAATGTTCTAGGGGGCTGGAGAGATCGTACAGTGGATAAGATGATAGCACTGCAAATGGCCAATGGGGGTTCAATCCCTGGCACTCGGAATTGCCTCCTGAGCCCCACCAGGAGTGATCCCTGAGCAGAGCCAGGTATGGCTTCCCCCAAAATAAATAATAAAAAATAATATAAAAATAATCAAGGGTCACCACAGGGCCTTCCCAAGCTGACCTTCCACTCTGGCAGGAAGCCTCACCAAGGCTGTGTTGAGAAAGGGCAAATTCAGTGAGGGTTGGAGGGGGGAGATTTTCAGAAAGTGTGACCAGAGACTCAGGCCCCTCCTTTCGTGGGCTGGTCCAGGATCCCCTATGGGTCCCAATTTTTCCATTTTCTCTTCAAGAGATTCCTTTCAAATAGTACAAATTTCCATCCTTTTAAAAGGTGGCTCCATGACTGGCTTACACCACTGACAACAAATAATGAAAAATAGTTTCCATTTCTCTGGGTTAATAACTCATGTGAAATGAGCCAAGAAAAGACATTCAGCAAACCATTTCCACCATGGAGGAAGAAAAAAAAATCTTAAAAAAAATGTACTGTTTCTGCGATCTCACTTCACCTCAATTTGCCACCACATCCACGACAGTGTTGGCAGACAAGACAAGTGAAGAACGCCTGGAAGTTACCTGCCCACCACTTCCCACTCTGGTCAAGGTATCAGAAACGGTTCTGGAACCCACACATCAGTGTTGGGAGCTGGGGAGTGGGTGCAGGTTGACCCACAGGGCACACATAAGCTCTCAAGGTATGTGTGAGAGGCCTTGGGTGAACCTATTTGTTCTCACATGATCTGCTCTGGGGACTTCCTCACAGTGACCATCTTGGCACAGCGGCTATTACATGTTACCTAGGTAACAGCAGGACCTTCCCATGACCCCAGCTGCCCCTTTGTACCTTGGAGGGACAGTATCTCCTTCTGGTTGCCCCTAAGCCACAACTATGTGCCTGTCAGCATTTTGCTCATGGGAACCCAGATGTTTTGATGCTGTTAGATCTAGAAGGACTAAGTGCACTCGCCAAATGTGTGCCTGTGAGCCAGGGCTCCAAGCCCTCAGCTCTGAGTCATGTCGGATCCATGTGTACTTTTCTCCAGAAGTTGTTTTTCTTGCAGACCAACTTGGAGGTGGGTTATAATTCTGATTTCCCTCATCCCCATGACCTCTAGCCAACACCCACATAGAAAAGGACAGAAAATGGGTGCTTCTCCAGGAAATAAAAGAACTCTGCTCTGGGAGTCATCTCTCACCCTGCTATAAATTGAGGTTCTCCAGAGAAACAGAATAGGCCTGATTGGAAGGACCAATGGGACCCATATATGGACACATGCCTCTATCCCGTATGTACACATCTGAGCAGGGGCTGGCAGGAGAACAGAAGAGGCGGATGCAGTCTTAGAAACTGATCATACAGCTTTGGGGCCAGCACTTACCTTGCACACAGCTGATCTGAGCTTGATCCTGGCACCGCTGATGGTTCCCCAAGACCCTCCAGGACTGATCTTTGTTTTTTTTTAATTTTTATTAGTGAAACACCATGACATACAGTTGTAGACTTACAAATTTTTGTGCTTGGATTTCAATTACACAATGATCAAATACCCATCCCTCCACCAGTGCCCATTTTCCACCACCACGGGTCCCAGTATCCCTCCCACCCAACCCCCCATCCCACTCTGCCTCTGTGGCAGGGCATTCCCTTTTGTTCTCTCTCTCCTTTTGGGTGTTGTAGTTTTCAAAAGAGGCATTGAGTGGCAATCATGTTTGGTCTATAGTCTACTTTCAGCATGCTTCTCCCAACCTGGGAGGATCCTCCCAACACCCTTTATTTGGTGCTCCCTTCTCTATCTGAGTTCCCTTTTCCCCTAGCATGTGTGGCTGGCCTCCAAGCCATGGAGCAAACCTCCTGGTACTAATCTCGGCCACTCTTGGGTGTTAGTCTCCTATTTTGTTACTTTATGTTCCCCAGATGAATGCAATCTTTCTATGTCTATCCCTCTCTGTTTGACTCATTTCGCTTAGCATGATACTTTCCATGTAGTACCACTTGTTTGTAAATTTAATGACTTCATCTTTTCTAACAGCTACATAGTACTCCATTGTGTAGATGTACCAAAGTTTCTTTAACCAGTAATCTGTTCTTGGGCACTAAGGTTTTTTCCAGATTCTAGCTATTATAAACAGTGCTGCAGTGAACAAACAAGTGCAGATGTCACTTCGACTATACTTTTTTGCCTCTTTGGGATATATTCCCAGGAGTGGTATTGCTGGGTCAAATGGGAGCTCAATTTCTAATTTTTTGAGAATTGTCCATACTGTATTCCAAAAGGGCTGAACCAGTCGGCATTCCCACCAGCAGTGAACGAGGGTCCCTTTCTCTCCACCAAGACTGATCTCTGAGCACAAGGCCAGGAGTAAGCCCCAAGCACTGAGAGATATAGCCCAAATGCAAACAAACTAACAAACAAAATATCCAAGAACAAGTACTGAGGAGATGGGGGAAAAAAGAACCATTAGCTAGCATTGATAGAAA